ACATCCCCAGCCCTTTTTAATTTTTATTTTGAGACAGAATCTCTTTAAACTGCCTAGGCTGGTCTTAAACTTATCCTTCTGCCAGCCTCCAGAACAGCTGGGATTCGAGGTATGTGACACCAGAAGTGGGGTTGGGGGGTATTCAATGCAAATTTGTTAAAAAAGTGAAAGAATATTTTCTTAGAGTTCTGTTCATGTAATTTACATTTGGCACCAGTTTCAGGAAAGAAATCTGAATCTAGTGAGAGGAAAAGCAACAGTTATGAAATAATTATTACATAAAAATCCCATGTTGAAGTTTTTTAGAATATAATTTTGGCTATTAGAAAAATTATATAGGCTCATTGGAGAAAAGAAAGTTAGGCAAAAAGAAAACAAAAAGGAACAAAAACTGAATCATACTTCTGCAACCAGTACCAAATTGTTCCAAGGCAGGTGTGTGTGTGTGTGTGTGTGTGTGTGTGTGTGTTTTAAGTCATATTTCAAACCTGCGTTATAAACATCACTACTTACTGGCATTTTAAAGCTTATGCTTAGCTATATTTTTTAAGCTGTAATTGAATAGGTTAGTACTGGTGCCTTCTTGATATTCTCAAATAAATACCCACGGAGGGCTGGGGCATCATCTATGGACAGTCCTCACCTAACAGCAACAAAGCTTCCATACACAGGGACAGCAATGAACAACACAGGGGGTGCTGATATTGGAGCCTTCATAGGACATGGGAACCATCCGTGCCCCACAGGTGAACAGAGTCATCAGCCAGGCACACATACCTCTTGGTGCCACTTGGTATTCAAAGCTACACTTTGTGATGACAGCTTTCCTATGTGCACGTTCAGTTGTGAAGGTCATTATGGACAGGGGTGTCATCCCAGCTGTGAAGGGGAGTTTCCACTAGAGTTAGTTAGAGAGCACTCTCAAGAGGTAACTTGTGATAAAACCCTTTTATTAGGAAATGGGATCATCTTTAGCATCCTACAAAATACTCTTTTGTCCTTTAACTCCATTTAGAAGACACTGTTCTTTAAGAAAAAAGAATAAAAAATCAAATTTTATAATGAAAAACCAAAGTTCTATTCTCAAAGATGTTTGTTACTATGCTATAAAGTAAAGAAATATCAACCATCCAAATGTCCCCAAATTGAGCAGTTAACTAAAACATGATACACTTTTGATTGATAGCATACTATCCAGCAGCTTGAAACAATGTAGATTAAGATGTAACGAAATGAAATTGGCTTTGATGGTTAAGAACAAACAAAAAAAGCAAGCTTTAAAA